GTAGAGATGCAGTGATGGGAAGGAAGCTGCACCCGGGTCGTGTCAGCTAATTACAGACCCAGCTCCGACGGGAGCAGGGCCTCGGTTTTCTTCCTGGCTGATTTTCCTAAGCTCAGCCACAGTGGTAGGCAGAAGCTCATCGTACCAATGGCCTTAAATAATGCCAGGCCGGTGCCCCTTTAAAACCTGCTCAACTGAGAGTCCAGTCTCTCCACCACTGGGAAGGGAAATAGATCATCCCAGGTAATAGCCAGTTGGAGGAAATTCCTTCAAATGAGTGAGAAGTCAGCTGGGATGAAATGAAAGCATAACCCTCTGTTGGAGAATGTGACAAAAGGCAAGATGCTTCAAGGGACAGATCTGCTAAAGGTGCCTAGGAGATATTTGTTGGGTGTGAAAGTTTCCCAAACGGTAGCAACAGAATCGAGATGGCAGAAAAATAAACGCAGAGCATTTCTGAGGAATGCTTCTACCCTCCTCAGAAGTAGGCTCCTAGGTCCAACCCCTAAGCCTCCAGGAGAGTTTCCTCCCCGAGAAGTTCCTGAGCCGCCCCCCCCCACCCCCGCCCCTTACCTAGCTTCCAGCCAAACTCCCTGTCACTTGCAATCTGCTGATTAGGGTTAATGTATTGTGTCCTGATATGGCAGATTAAAAATGAAATCAATAAATGCCTAAAACAAATGGGCTTTTGAAATGTCCCATTCAATCTGAGTCTTTAAGGGTGAAGTGAGAGGTGGAAGAAGGAAATCAAGGGGGGACTGGGGAGGAGACCACTCAAGTAATCAATTTCTATCCAGAACACTGGGTGGAGGATGCGTTTTTAAGGTATCTGCCCTTCATTTTGTTCAGGGACCTGCCTTAAATAACCAGAACAGTTCATGTTCCTGAGCCCCTGGGGAGGGGGTGGGGGTGTTGTGTATATTATTTCCATTCATCTGTTAAAAATCACACTGTTTGGGTAAGCGAAGGGGTCTAGAGCACCGTGGTATATAAGTCTTCAAGACGTGAACTTGTCTTTCTGAAGTTATGTTTAAACAAAGTGAGAGGTCCAGGGTCCCTTCTCCACCCCACCCCGGTTTCTGTTCTCTTGAACCTCATTCCACTTGCCCTCAAATGAAAGGTGGACTTCACCCCGCACTGCCCGCCCCTCCCCGCCCGGAGACCTCCCTGGCTAGAGCAGTCAGTGCTATCATGAGGTCGCCAGCAGACCGCTCCGGCCAGCCATCCCCACACACCACCGCAGGACTCAGAACTGTCCCTGCTGAATATGTTTCCCATGTAAATAACCTGTGCTATTAAGGTGCAAATTGCAACTTTTAAGTAATGATTGCTAATAGTCTAATGTTTACTGCCACACAAGGACATTCATGCAAACAAAATCTGCATTATTCATCTCCATATTAAATAAACAAAATGAATTGAGGGAGCTGTTCCTTCCTGCTAGACTTTTCTGAGACCTGGGCTCTCAGGTCGTTTTTGAGAGTCAGCAAGAAGGAAACATTTCCTCTCTTTGGGTGGGCAGGGGCAGGCTCCTTCCATTGATACACACAGGAGGTATTCACGTGGAGGTGATCCCCAAAGATTCTGCGTTGTATCGCAATTGGCTGACACTGTATAAAAACAATAGTTCGGGACGGCAAAATAAAATATGTATTCCACGTTGTGTGTACAGAGACTGCCGTAGTTTGTAGGACACAGAAGGGGTAGCGTGTAAGCCTGTGATTTCAAATTTTTAACTACTCTGTATCCTGTAAATTACAAACAAATCAAAATACTGTTCTGTTTTGTTTTACCTTTCTGCCATCTCCTCTATTGTCCCCAAAATGGATAGGGGAGAAGATGCTGGTATAGAATTCTGCAATATTTTGACAAACCCCTGGGGTACCGTAGGCTGCTTTCTAAACTTTTTTTTTCTTGCCCGAAGTAACAGTACGGTGGAATAGCATAGCTTTGGAAAGCCAGGAAGAATTACATTTGGGAGGGAAATGTTCTGACTTAGCTGTTTCCTTAAAGAGATCTGCCTACCTCACATTTCTTCTCTTCGAGGGGGGAGAAATATAACAAATAAGGGCTAAAATTCCCCATCACTTATAATATCGTCTTGTTCATTATACCTGGATAACTGCGTTATTAGAAAGTTCTCTAATTGATTCCTTGAAACACGGAACTTAAAACTAATAATGCAAAGGAATCAAATTGCCTCGAACAGTTCTTGGGAAAGATAGTCTCAGCCCTGATTCACTCACAGGCTTTTTCTATCTTACATTATTCATTAATCAAGCCAGAAACAAGCTTTCAGCATCAGGCCATGGGAGTAATTACTTACAGTTGTGCATTGTGTTTAATTTTAAGCCATGGTGGAAGTTAGGACGGCCACACTCCTGGAACCCACCTTTGGCAGTTCCCCGGATGTTAACTGGCTAAAGAACCCCGAAGTAGCTAACTTTCCTTGGGAATAACCACCTCGGCTAAACGGAGCACAGCATCGATGACTTCAGAGGAAAGAAACATTGCATGCAAAAATATCCGCTTTATTAACACGTGAGCAAATAAATATCCGAAGAGGGGCCTCATTGTGTACGGAATGAATTATTCCCTTTCAGCCTGACAAGGGTTTCCACTTCTTCAGTGGAAATAATAAAAGCCACGGAAACAAACATATAAATACACTAGGAATACAATAGGCTAGAAAACTGAAACTATAGTCACAACTTTCTCTCTCTCACACACACACACTCTCTCTCTCTCTCTCTCTCTCTCTCTCTCTCTCTCTCTCCAGTAAACAGACAAGCCAGCATCCAGGGAGAGACCAGCTTAATGAAAAGGGTCTGATTTAAATAATGTGATACAGCATTACGTTACGTACACCTGGATCCTCATTGATCAGAAAATAATGATAATCAAAGTAGTGCCATTCTGAGCAAGGCACTTTTTGTAATGAGCTTACCAAAGGAGACATGTCCAGTCATTCTGGTAATTTAAATTACTGCCTAGTTGTTGATGGCCTTTACCGGAACAACAAGGGGGGAAAAAAAGAGTAATTTTCAGGGCAGTATCACTTCTTGCTGGCCTGTTGCCCAGGGTTCTCTTTTGGGACAACAATGAGGACGTTATCTCCAATCATCTCACTACACTCATACTCGTGTTGCCGGAACGAGGCAGAGCAGGCTTACTCTTCCCGAGTCCAGAGGCCAGGGTGCACCCCGAAGCTGTCAGACCGCAAAGCAACCGAAGTTTTAAAAAATAAGCGAGTTACATGTAGGCAAGGACAGGGGTAGGAGGGGGAAATTGTTTGCAAAAGAGGCAGAGTTGTAAAAAGAACACCTTGCCGACTGGCCAAGTCCTAAGTAGGTATGGTACTAAAATATTTTAATTATTTTGCTCTAAAGGAAACAATTGGAAAGTGCATGAATCAAAGACCTTTATAGATGATATTTCCGCCTGCGATTTAAAGCAATCTCCACGCGGTTTACGGAAGCAATTGTGCACTCAGAAGGGAAGATAATTGTGGGTATTTCAAAGCACATGTGCTGCCATTCGGGCTGGACTCAGGCCACGATGGAGGCTGAGCTTGGTGGTCCAGCCTGTTCAGGCACAAGCACCCACTCTGCCCAGATTTGTAGCTAACTTTGGATTTGTGCTCAGGGTGGCTTTGCAAAGTTTACGAAACTGCTCCACAGAACTTCTCCCTCACGCTTTGCGCGAGTTGACACAGAAGGGAACGGGGTGGTCGGTCTGCCCAAGACCAGCCCTCGCAGGGGCTGCCTGAGGCCGGAGGGTAGGGACAGAGAGGGGGAAGGAAAACAACTCAAGCTTTCTGCTAAAGCCCTGATTCAACGAAAGGACACAAAGAAATAAAAAACGCCCACATTAAAAGCCAAACAAGATAATAATTGTGCATGTCTGGCTCTGAATCCAGAGGGCCAGGCTTGCGTCACTGGCACTGAGTTACCATGGTGAGTGATTTATTGATATATATCAAGAATGAATAGATCAAAGGCAGCGAGATGACAGGTGATCAATCAAATGTCAAATCAAAACTAGCAATCAAGTGGAAAGCTGATTTTTCAGTGGGTGGGTCTGGCAGGAGAAAAATGAACTTTCATATTACACTTCCGAGAAACAAAACCCCAGCATACTATTAAAAAAGCAATTAAGCAACCCAAAAGGGAAAAAAAAAATCCCTTAGAAGGTCTATTGTACTGATCCATTAACCTGTTCCTCTCTCTTTTTGGGGTGGGGGGTAGTAAGTGAAGATTCAGATGGGATAGTTTTTAGCATATAAATCAATTTACAAAGTTTGCAACTCTCTCTGGGCAAAGAAAAGCCAGAGCTGTTTCAATGTTCTGCTGGGCATTCCACCCCCCCCCCTTTTTTTTTTTAGAGAAGGGAGAGTGTTGATTAGATTTCCAAACGTGGATCCTTTTAGCAAACATATTCAAAGGTTCATGCGTTTCCTGAAGTGGTTTTTTCCACCTTGGCGATCAAAGCTGAACTCCCATCGCAGCCCCAAAGCCAGCCTGCAGCCTGGGCTTGGGCATGGCTCACACTGGAGCGCCCCAAACCCCAGCGAGAGGAAATACTGTCACTCCAGGCCAGAAGCCACTGGCACTGACCACACGGAGGGATGAGGAGGAGAAGGGACTGTCTCCCTACTCCGCACCCCAAATCCTCAACCCAACTTTGGCCCAAGAAGCCAGAAACAGACCCGGAGAAAGTTAGGGGTGGGGTAGAGGGTAGAGAAAAAAAGTTTAAGGAGGGAAGGCTTGGTGGGATAGCTACCCCCACCCAGCCAGAGCCTGGAGAGGGGAGGATCTGAGAGATGGGAGAAGGCAAGAGAGGATGGGGTTATCATCGGGGCAGAGAGGGGCACCCGGAGTGACTCCCCCGAAAGCTTGGGGGGTGGCGCCCTCGGGCACCCGGGGCAAGGAGGGCGGGCGAGGGGCTCCGTGCGCAGAGCAGCCGGAGGGGCAGCCCCAAAACGGAGCCGGTTCTCTTACCTGCCGCCCGCTTGGGTGCCTGCTGTTTCCTCCTTGGCATCGCTCAACTTCGCTCCAGTCCCACTTCTGGCGCCCCAGCCCCGAGCCGCGCGCGGGGGCCCGCGGTCTCGCTCGCCTGTCTGGGTCTCCTCCGCCTCCTGCCCGGTGGCTCCTAGGGCGTCTCTCGGCCTCTGTCCCCCTGACGATCCCCCCTGCAACTGCTCCACCACGGGCCAGAGACCCCCCTCTCTGGATGGCAGGGGTGGCTTGTGCCGGCTGGTTTGAAGTAGAGGTTGGCTGTGCCTTGTTTGTTTGTTTTGAAATTTTTTTCCTCTCTTTCTCTTTTTGTTTTTGCTTTTTTTTGAAATTTATTTGTTTGTTTGTTTGTTTTTTGGTGACTGTTGAGACACTTGATTTCTTTATTAAACATCCAAGACCGGATTCAGATGGAAGGGACGAGGGGCGCACACGCGCCGCACGCACACGCGCGCGTAAAGATAAGGAAAAAAAAAAGGCAATCCTGGGAAGGTAGTGGTTTCTTCTTCTTTTTCTTCTTCCTCCTTCTCCTCTTTCCCTCCTCCTCTTCCTCCTCCTGGCCGATCTCTATGGCGGATGCGTGCTGGGGGAGAGAGAGAGATCACTCACTGTAGGTTTGTGGCTGCTGTCAGATCCCGGTCTGTGAGTGATATGCGAGAGGACAGGAGAGGGTTTGGGAAAGACAGAAAATCTGGAATTCACTCACTCACACACTCACACACACAGACACGCACACAGACACACACTCACACACGCACGCACTCTCGCTTCCTCTCACACACACTCACACCCCCCACATATGCACACACACACTCACACACACACAAGACAGGGCGAGGCGATGCCAGCAAACATCGATCCCGCTGAACAAACTGAACATTAACAAACTCCTCCTCCTCTCCCCGCGACCTGATGACAGGGAGAAATTTACTCCCCAGCCGCAGAGCGCCAGGCAGAGGGAGTCTATTAAAGGGACAGTGTCCCGCCGGGGAGAGGGGCTGGGGGCGGGGACCGGGCGTGCCACCCCTGCGCCTGCCTCCCCGTGCGCCCTCTTCCCCGGCAGGAGAATGTGCCCACCGGCGCGGGGACCCCCGGGGGGAGGAGGTGAGGAGCGAAGGGATTTGGGAGAAAAGGGGGCAGGGTGATGGCTAAACTCAGGGCTGGGAAGGGAGCTGCGGGGGGCCAGGCTCGCTGACCAGCAGGGACCATTAACAATATCAGGAGGGTGAGAACTTATATTTGCTTTGAACAGGGAAGGGGGAGGGCACTTTGTCCAGGGATGACCTCCATCCGCTGAGTCTCCCAAGCAGACCGCAGCGAGGTCCTCCCCACCCCTTTAAGTTTAATAACACCCCTGTCCCTCCCCCTTCTTGGGAATCAGTGGATGGTTATAAAAACAAAAATCTCCCATCAGCCTTCTCAAGAGTTGAATCACATATTTTTTTTCTCTTTGTTTTGTTTAAATGGTACTTACTGAGCACCTACTAAGTGCCTGTTCTGGAGACACAGCAGCCATAGAGAATAGGGAAACGCTGATCCTCTTGGTGTTTGTATTTTAATGGGGGAGCAGGCTAGTCATCCCTAGATATCCAGTCATTGCTTAAATGTCACTTTCTCCCGGGGGCCCACCTTACTTAAAATTTCACCCCCCCCACTACCCACTCCATTTCTCTATTTTTTCCGTTTTGTTTACTTTTATGCCCCCGCTGATAGCAGAGACCAAGGCACAGAGTGAATGCCCAATAAGAGAGTTGTTGAAGGAATGAAAAGCAAACAAACAAGATAACTTCAGAGCGATCGGCTCCCTGAAGATGTCGATGCTGGGTTCTGTGACCATGTGGCGGGGGAGAGGGGTGACACAGGTTCAAGCCAACATGCGGTCACGGAGCTGTGCTCTGGGCCAGGCGCTTCCCAGGTGCTGGGGACAGGCCTGCACCCAGGCCCTGCCCTCAAGAAACTCTTGCTCCCATGGGACAGGCTGACCGTTCAAGGGGCGAGTGATGCATGCTGGGCCAGGAGGTGGAGCGAGGAGGGGTGATTCACCTGGAGGTGGAGGGAGGCAGGATGGTTACCAGGCAGGGCTTCCAGGGCAGAGTCAAGGCAAAACGGAGTCCTCAGCTTGGAGGTATGAAGCAAAAGGGGGGCTCCAGAAGCGATGCCTTAATCACGAGTCTCATAGGCAGCCTCCGTCAGGGCCTCTGCTTCCCTTGTTCGGATGCACGTTCCTAGGCTTTACCCTGGAAACGATGTTCTACCTCTGGCTCTGCTGGCGTCTGGGGCCCCATGTTTTGGTTGTGGAGGCTGTTCTGTGCCATGCAGGACGTTCAGCGGCATCCCTGGCCTCCACCCACTAGATGCCTGACCCTTTCACCCCGGTGTGTCAACCGCAGTTGTCTCCCGACGTTGCCCAATGCCCCCTGCAGAGCAAAACTACCCCTGGGTGAGCACTACTGCCCTCCGCCTTCTGAATCAGAGACCCCCGGGGGAGGGCGTAGGAGCCTGCTGTTTGAACAAGCAATCCGCACCCTCACAAGAGAATCTCCTGCTCACTCCAGTTTGAGAACTTCTGCTAAAAAAGCCTTTGTTCTTTTAGAATCAGACACACCCAACATTGTAACTCTAAGAAAGCCAACTCAGGCTTAGATATTAATATGGTGTAGGAGTTCAAGGGGTGATATTGTCACTATGGTCATTGTTATGGGGTTTCACCTGGGCCTGCTCCTCACTAGCCACCCCCACCGCGTACCCACCGGAACGGAGGCCTGACCACTGGGACCCGGGTGCCTCCTGCATACAGACCACCCACCTGCCACCTTTGTCCTCGCTCCAGGGGAATTACCATGGGTGACTAGATCCACAAATATTTTTCTTAACTGCTCTTTGGGGCTATAGGAAAGGTAACTTCCCCATCTTATTAGTCACAATAAGTTATTGTCACTGCTTGCAAAGTGCTGTTGAATCCTTTTAAACATCCCCACATGGGAAGCAACTGCTCATTTCTCCTTCTCATGTTTGCGGCACAAACAAACTCACTTACCCTAAGTCACCCAAGTGGCCTCCACCCAAGACCAACCCACCCAATCCCAGCCTAGTCCTTAAGCAACTGAGGCAGAGAAAACTTTACTTCATAGTTGACAGTGTTGGCAAAAGGGTACGAACCCTAATTAATTCTAATTGCCCAACAGAACTTGACAGAGTGCTGCGGTAGGGACCGGAGCTTATTGACGAAAACCTCAGAGTCCTGGTTCAAGGAACCACAGTTCTAGGATCGGGAGGTACAGGCTTAAGGGCTGAACAGAAAGGAGATGGGAAGGCAGTCAGCTCGCGGTGAATCCTCCCTCCGCTACAGAGGCCCGAGCGTGCTGATTTGGTGGTTATGTTACATGCAATCATTTGGCAAACATCTACTGTATTAGTTAGGTGCCGGGCATTGTCCCAAGCAGAGACGATACTGAAATGCATACAAGAGGATACTTGCTTTCAAAAAGCTTCTGTTAAAATGCTACCCAAATGACGGAGAACCAGGAAAGAGGGAATTCGGGAGCCAGACCTGGTCTTGGGCGGAGTCAGGACGGAAACCAACAAGAAGCGTTGCGTCTGGGTGACAGAATCTCTCCTAGCCCCACTTCTAGGATTCTTCGCCAAATCTTTACCTCCAATCTCTCCTCTTTCTCAGTAGCTGGTTATACAATGGGGTGGGGGACTTCTAACACTCCCGCTACACCTATCTTGCAGCTGGCTACCAACGCTCTCATGGACCCACAATTCAGGAGTGTTCTTTCATTAATTTGAATTATTTTTCTACTGCTACGACTATAGAATATTTAGCTTGGTTATCAACAAAGAAGATTTTGGCTACTTCAGTGGGACGCATAACACACTGGCACGCAGATGCTGTTCAGTGGTGTAAATACGACATTGAAAAACACTGAAGCACATAGTGAAAAGGTTATCCCCTTTTCATCTGAGAAAGTCCAGTTTGGTGCAAGTGTGTCTGTTATGCTGAACAATTGCTAACTTATTGTTCAACCAAGAAACCACACATTTCTGGCTTAGAACCTGGGGAGGAACAACAGTACCCGGCTAGACTTTTAAAAAACTGGTTTGTGTGTTACTAAATTTCAGGTTACCTCTATCTTAGCAAAAGATGCTGCTCTCCATTTATGACAGCAATCTAAAGTTTGATATAAAGATTTTAAAAATAAATATAGCTCAGGGATGATAGAGAACAAGAAATGTCTCAGGTGGGACGTGGTGAGTAGAAAGAGTGAGGAAGGCAAGACTGACAGGCATGGAGAGAATTTGCAAAATATGTGGCTCAACCATGGACTCTAGCACTTCTGGAAACTTCTTCCAAGAGTTGATTGTTTGGAATAATGCTATGTTTGGGTCTTCAGGGAACTTAGCCTCCTAGAATCCAACACGCAAGCCTCGGGATGTGTAAAGGCATGAATGGATTGGAATGACTCAACTGGGTCTTCCAGAACACGTATGCCCACCCTGGCTCTACATCGGAATCACCTGGCGGTATTTTGTTATTTTGGTATTTTGTTATTTTTTTTAAGATAAAGAGGCACAGGCCTCACCCACCCCAGAATAACTAAATTAGATCCCAGGGTGGGGCCAGAATATCTGAAATTTTAAAAGTTCCCAGGTGCTTCTGATAAGGCACCAGGCACATGAGCCTTCCCTGTGCAAAAGTTGAGTTTTGTAACAAGTGAATCAAGTTAGGATTCTTGCAGGAAAGGAGCAGCGGGGGCAGCTGTTGCTGGATTCACTCAGAAGTGTGGCTGAGAAGCACGAAAGCCCCATGAAGTGCATACCGATCATATTGATTTTTTTGGTGGGGGGAGGGGTGTGGGGAGTTAGCAGGCCTATATCACCACTGGACTCCAACCCAGGGCAATTAAAATAAATATTTGCCTAGTGTCTACCTTGTATTAGCCACTGCCCTTATCACTGGACACTGGGGCAGCCTCGACCTTCTGGAGGTTTAGGACCAGAACGCATCCTGTGTGAGAGAGGCTTCAGGGCCTTTTCCCTCCAGCCAGGTTCCTCCCGCAGGTCCAGGGGTCCCCCTCGGGACTCAGATGTCGTCTCCCTTGGCCCACCTACGCTATCTGCCCCCGTGCTTCCCACCCCCGCACTCCCCACCCCGTCTCTCATGGCAGCTACAACCCTGTGTATCTTTTTCGTGTATTTGCCTTTCTATTACCCGTCTCTCCTAATTAAAACGTAACTTCTATTTACCTCTATAGCCCCAAGTCCAGCGCAGTCAGCAGGCTCTGGAATAACGGTGTTTTGTTCAGTATTTTGTTTCACGTGGTCTCCTTTACGTTGTAAATGAGAAAAACAATAAATGGGTCCCGGCCTGGGCCGCGGTCAGGGTGGAGTTTGCATGTTCTCCCCATGTCTGCATGGGTCTTCTCTGGGTCCTCTGGTGTCCTCTCACACCCCATAGATGTGCCCGGGCCCACCGGCATGTCTAGGTGGCCCCCGGGGCCTGGGTGTCCACAGGTGGGTGCGTCTGCACCAGCACCTGCGGTGGAAGGAGGCTCTTCCACGCGGCCGGAAGAGGGTCCTGCGGCCCGGAACTGCAATCACCAGGTCGGTCGATAATAAACTCACCTGGTTTTAGTAATCTTTTAAGAAATGTAGTAGAGCTCACTTAAAAAAAATTTGGAGTCTTCGTTTAGAAGTGTGGTGATGTTTTTGTGATTAGAAATATGCTGTAGGAACTTAACTCTTGTTTTTATCAATTGGCCCATGGGAAAATTGGTTTTGTTATACAACAGTTCGCTTCAAGTCACA